GCTCACTTCTTATCGCAACAGTATCAAAAATGTAAATGTTCTTGAATAGGCACGATTAGGGTGTATGCGAATTGTGGCCACAAATGCCAGTTTAAATAAAAATAGAATTAAAATTGCTTCGACTGCCAAATTTCTTATTCATTGTGGATCTATATTTCAGTATTCTTCTTCAACATGGATCTATATTTCCAAGTCTCAATGTTCCTACATGAATACTTCTCTGAAATTTCCTTTTATTACATGTATATATATAAGATAAAAAGGTACTTTTCCGTTTTGCCGGCGCAGGCGTTTAAGTCGCGAATATAATACAATAAATAATGGTACAACTGATGCCGAACGTAATATCCTCGCTGGTAACCTTTTACGCCTCATTTTCAAAACAATTCGCAGCCATTTCTTATCAGATTGATTGTTTTTTTCAATACTGGCATACAATTACATGCAAGTTTTACCAGATACTTCAATTTTATGCCCTAAGGTCATTCGTGGTAATTAGTCAATTAGGATGCAATCACACCGCTCACCCGAAGGCGAAAATATAGAAAAGGCAAAGTCAAGGGTTAAATTCATCAATTCTAATGAAAATGCACTAGCGAAGTAAAGCACTGCGGTTTTACAAAATTTCTGAGTAAACTATTCGTACGAACTGAAATAATTCTTGCATTTAAACTTGCATTCCAAATTAAGATTCCACTTGAAATTAATGTAGATAATTACTGAGAGAATTAGATTTTTGTAGCGTAGTTTACGTGAGATGATATCACTTGGGATCACGTGCTATGAAAAGGCGAATCAGGATGTTGAACCATGAAAGCATAGTAGATTTTTAAATTAATGTCTTTTTGCAAGTTTATTGTGTTTATTTATCGGCTTTTTACAAAATTTTAAATGATATTAAAATGTTTATCCCTTCAAATTAAAAAAGTTCTTAGAACTAACATTTGTTAAACATTTCTTATGTGTATACTGTATGTTGTCGCCAATAAAGTGTGCTTGGTGAGATTTGCGCCGGCGAAAAGGAAAAGTACCGATAAAAAATATGAAAGCAAACTTATAATTTTAATTGGTTGTAACCTCTTTTATTTTTCATTTAATTTGTGGACTTATCTCTCTCTCTCTGTCTTAAAAATAGCGCTATAAATCTAAACTGCGTCATTCAAATTAATCCTGCGATCTTATGTAACCCTTAATGCAGATGTCTCTTGCGCAATCAAATTAATTGTAAACCAAAACTAACTCGAGCTGAAACGTTTCGACTCCCTCCCTTCTTTTTCTGCATTACTACTGCGACACACTTTTCTTTTTCGCTTGTGCTTTCCTCGTGGCTAGATGCTTTGCTGCAATCATCTATGTGCTGCAACGATCGCTTATAGTATAGAATCAAAATAAATATAGTATCAAAGAGTATCAAAATTGTTCTGGAAATAGGCACGATTGAAGTGCCAAGTGAATTGTGGCCACAAATTTGAATTTAAATAAGTATGGAATTTAATCCGGCTCGACTGTTTCTTCATCAAAATGGATGGGCGCTCTAAGCATCAAGTATATATAATTGATCTTAAAAAAAAAACCTTAAATAATCTTTTTCTTTTTTTTTTCTTTTTCTTTTTTTTTTTTTAAGAAACTGTTCCGTCCTTTTTCAGAAATGCAAGGGAAACATTTTCTTCATAAGAAAAATATAAATGAGACCCTTTTTGTCTTTCAAGGAACGTTAAGGGGAACATCTTCAAGTTAAAAAAAATCTTTCTTAGTATTAAAGGAAGTCAAAAAGAATTTATTTTTCATCTTTGAAAAATGCAAATGAAATATTGTCAAACTACATAATTTAAATAAGCTTTTCTCGACTCTTTAAATTGTAATTTTTCTCCTTACATTTAAAACTTGACATGGGTTTTCCTATGGTCATAATAAAAGTGGAGATTTTCTCCCGAAAAACGTGAAAGTTTTTCGACCTAAAAACTTCTAACGAATTTTTTTCTCCACGTTGTAAAACCAAAGTATAACTTTTCTCCTTACATTTTTAAATTAACATGGTTTTCCCATAGATAAAATAAAAGTAGATATTTTTCGCTTTAATAAAATTAACGTGAAAATTTTTCAGTTCAGAAAAATCAAGGTGTTTCTTTTTAGTCTTAAGTTGCTTAAATGGAGAAATTTAATACATTTACCCACATTTTCGTAGCAACTGTTTGCAGTTAATTAAAGTGTACTATACAGAAAGAGAAATTAATGAAGCTTTCGAAAAAATAAAAAAGAGCTATGACAAGTTGGCTCAGGATGAGTTCTGGGAAACGTTATTAACTGTGAACTAAATATTGTCATACAGAGCCTTTCTTATAACAATTAATTAATCAGCTATAGCAAAATTTAGAATACTAAATTAAAAAAGAATAAAATAAGTAAAAAAAATCTGAAAGCTTTCAGATTTTATATTACGCTCAAAGGGCTTTTTTTTTAATGTTTTGTGTATTATCTTTATTTATTAAATATCATTCTTCGCAATTAAACCATAATATTCAGTTCGACAGAAATATCACAAAATATTTATAAGACTGTATATTTAGAATTTCCGACACACAATCTCGCGCGCTGAAGATAAAAATGTCCCCCCCCCTCCGTACAGTGTTTCCATTGTTCGCTTTGAAATCGTTGAGTTTCTTAATCAAAAACTCATAAATGCTTTACAAAATATGAAAGCGATAATAAAACAAATTCCAAATTTGGCCTTCCAGATGCTCATATTCGGGTGGAGACGCACCTTATTCAAAATTTGATGGCTCTAGGTACTGTTGTTTTATCACAATGCGAGAAACATACATACATATATGCAGATTCTTCTTTATTTAATATCTTTAAATATAATACAGGACTCTAATATTTGGTGGCAACACTTTTAAAAGTGATCCGCCGTTTATAGTGAATCAACGCAAAATGCCAAAACGAAATTAATAGGCTTTCTAGGCAAATTGCCTTTTTGGGCTAAAAATAATAAAATATACACATGTATTGAATGACGATATTACATTGGTTAATGTACGTAAATAACTGAAAATACATGTATTAACACAACGAGTACTGACTTTTATGAAGTCCTTTGCATTAATGAAAATGTCATTCATAAAACTTTAAATTAATTTTCTCTGATACAGTTACGAACTTAACAGTAGCTAGCAGTTTTCCCGCAGCAAAACGGTAATTCTGGAAGGCATAGCATAGGAAGGAGAAGCATAGGAAGATAAAATTAGCATAGTCAAAATTCGCCTAAAATATAAAAATAACGATATGAATGTAAGATACTTACAAATCCTACTGAATTAAAATGGATTAAATGTTATACGTATGTTTTATATAGTAAGAAAAATTTCCAGATGAGTACATAAAGCTATAAATATGGTTCTAAAATTACGGTTGAAAACTCTGACTTCATTCTAAAAAATTCAAAATATATAAAGTTCGTTAATAAAGGTAACTGGGGATCGAAACTAAACATTTGTAACAGCGAAAACCTTAAAGCATGCTTTGAAATATAACATGTATATTAAATGTTCTAGAGAAATATCTGAATACGCAAGAAATTATAAAGGTTGAAACTACGACTGAAGTTAATAATAGTAGCTAAATGAAGTAAAATAGTATAATTAATAAAGGTAAGAAAATTGTAGAATATATAAATTAAAATAGAACTAACTATAAAATATAGAGTAAATAAGAATTTAAATGGATAATAATAAACAGCCGTAAAGTTAATACTTAATTTAAAATCTTGGTATGTTTAAGAAAGTTAAATATGGGAAAAATCTTGTAAAATTAATTGAAATAGTAAAATAAGTAAAATCAAAAGCGTATTACTATCGAAAATTAAAAAAAAAAAAAAAAAAAAAAAAGAGTTAAATGTTTTAAGAAATTATCAGAATGCACAGAAAAATTGCAGATATTATAAAAATAGAGAGTCAAAAATTAATCTGAAAGTTATGTAAAATATATAATGGTTATAAAATATAATAAATTAATTAAAATTCAGCATATGTTGAAAATCGTGAAAAAGTATACCTAAAACTAAATAAAGGTAATGTATATCGTTCGATAATATAACAAATAAGTTAAAAGTATGTTGGAAATTAGTAAAAAGGTAAGGAAAAATAATATGTGTAAAATAAAATAAAACAATAAAAATTAGTAATGTTAAGATTACGAAAAACAAATGTTATGAACAGAAAATATAAGAAATGCATTAAAATTATGAATAAATTAAGAGAAACTGTTTTAAACGTACTTAAGAAACTAAAACAGTACACCTAAAATTAAGTCATGACCATGTGAATTAGCAGTGAATGAAGAAAATAAGCTCGAAAGCTCTTAAGGCTACATAAGAATAGAAATTATGAAATAACATACATGAAGAAAAATCCAAAGGCTAAAATTCCTAAATTTTATGTTGTAGGTAACTACCGTTGTAAAATAAATAAAAGGTAATCTCTTATTAAATTGTGAAGTCAAATCTTCTCCTTATCAGATTGTTTACCTCCCGCACTCCTCGCAGTTTCGCTTCCTGTTGCTGAACTGGCTGTTTCACACTACACTGGTGCATATTTTAGGCATTCTATCAGGATATGTTAAATGTTCAGGTTGGGTTTCTTTATTATTTTTATTAATGATTACACTTTTAGGTATTCCCTTATATTCATGAAGAATGTTGTCTGAAGGCATATTCATAATTAGAATGGATTAAATACTTCTTCGGCACGGCTTACTTGCCTTTCGAATTATAGTACAGTCGCGAGAATAGCTTCATGAAGTCAACAAATCTTCAGTGTTAAGAAATAAATATTTAGTATAGGAACTGAGTCGGAAATGATCTGCCTACGTCTACATTTTATATATTTTATAAAATCAATATTGTTTGCAATGAAGTCATAATTCCCAGCAGTGTTGCGTTAAAGAGATACCATATTAAGTAATAACACATAACAACATATAAATAATACAGAATGAACAAGTATGTTTGAACCGCTTTATTTAAACCCACTCTTTGTAGAGAAAATTTACATTGTTATATACAGTGAAAAATATAGCGGACTCATAGCCCGACTACTTGAAAGCATATATTATATAATTGAATAAGATTCTTAGATACAACAATGCTGTAACATACATACACATAAACAAAGTATCACAAGTAGACAAGAACGTCTGTTTCATTCAACAAACACATCTTTGGATGAAACTAATAACTCAGACGTAGATAAACAAATAACAAGGCAAACTGGTATAAGTAAAATTTAAAACTGCTATTCGGTATAGTTATTGATCCTCGTGATATACATTTACAGATTTATGATGATTCCCTGTAAAAAAGGCTCAAGTATTTACTATTTTTAAATAATGTTTAATCTGTTTCCTTTAAGAATTTTTATTTCGAGCTGTTTACAGTTGAATAAAATATATTAATTTTTACTATAATTATAAAGTAATTAAGACGTGCTTACCGAAGAAGTAGCTTCTATATATTATTCTTCGGTTAAGAATTACGTATTAAATTATTTTGCACATAATTATTAGCATTATTTTAGAAAAAGACAATGGAAAATCTTAATTTTAGGTCTTGAACCAAAGTTCTTTGAAAATGAGGTTCATAAAACCACGTTGGTTTTAAAGATTAGATTACTTGTTTCAGTTTATATCTGTTAATTATAGATATTTTCAGCAAGAAAATATCTTTGTCTTAGCCATGGATGCTTTCTGAAATCACTACAGAGATCTTTGCTTGTATGATTTCAGAAAATATCGACGAGTAAGTGATATTTATTATTTTATACTTTTCTAGCAATATTTGTTTACTTTCAGTGGATATATACACATATACTGTAATTTCTACCTGTAACCTCGTATTTCATCATCACATGAATTACGCATGGATAAATCTATATATTACAGGGCCATTTCTGAATATATATAATAACAAATATATTACTCGTTTAAAATTTCTTTTAGCGTAATAAATAATTTCCTTAAAAAAAAGATAAAAATGATATATTTAAGAAATTAACAATATTTTTTCTTAGTTTATAACTAAAAAAATATGTGTTTAATATTTACATTAAAGATTTTAAAATGTGGATTTTCTTTTGAATTAAAACAAATGAATCATACAATACGTATATAAGAAGATGTAGTACTATTTTAGTTAATTTATGCTGCATTTAAACGTACATTTTTAAATAAGTAATAAATATTACAAGAAAACAGTAAAATTCATTAAAAAGTTCTTATAGACTATTATATCAAATAGAATCCTTTAATTTGTGATCACATCTAGCACTTTCTTTCGTTTATTTAAGTAGGCTAAAAATAACATTAGTTACGTCTAAAGAATTAAGATTATTTTTTATTAAGAAATTTACCGTTAAACGTTTTTAATGGGAATTAATATGCAAATATTTTAATTTGGCAGCTGTTTTTTCAGAAAACTTATTCGAATAGCAGCATTTCAGTTTTTTTCTTATAGTTGCCTTGAGTCATTCTGTTGCAATAACAAGCAACCAAAACACCAAAACACACAACTATCTCACCATATCAGTCATTTTCGGGCTACATCTGAGCCACAAATAACAAGTATTTATGATAATTTCAATTGCACTAAAACATTTAAAACTATATTACATAACCAAACATATAGACATACAAGTGAGTATTTTAAGTTAATAAAACGGAATGTTTCCCTTTGACAACATAAATAACAAAAATCACAGGTATCTAAGCACTCTAAAATAAACGAATTTCAAATTAACCGGTACCGTGTTCAAAACATTCCTTCAGTGAAGTTCCATGCGAAAATCAGACATGGGTAATAATTCTAAAGTTTTATTAATTCGCATTCAAGTCTATATTAAAGACAAAGCTGCTTCTTGAAGCATCACTGTTCTTATTATAGCATTAGCATTCTATTCAAAAGAGGTTGGTATATGTAACAGGTAATAAAAAGCAGCCAATGTACATTACCAAGAATAACTACACTTTTATTACTTAATGTTAGTATGAATTAACTAAAAAGATTTATAATCCTTTTCTTGTTGAAAATTTGCATTAAAATATTTAAAAGCAGGATCTAAATAAAGCTATCAACACTGCAAAGAAAACATTTTAAATTCGACTATTAAATACTTATTTACTCATGCAGATGGAAGAAAATGGATTGATTTAATTTCATCCTTTGAAAACTTTCAAAATTTTAAATCTACCACTGTGATTTCTTCAAGACTAAATATTCAGATTAATTCATACAATTAATTGCACATACTGACGCCTTCATATTACACAGATATAAATCTTTATAAAGTATGTCTTAGCCATATAAAATCAAATATTCAATTTAATTTTAAAGAAGGCAAAACATAATTTTTAGCATTTGATAAACTGTGAATTATCGTTAGAGGAATCCTTGATTATCACAAAGGATTTGTGAAATATTTAAAATTATATATTACGGATATCATACTTAAACGTCGTAGAACTATTACCAAACATATCCAGAAAGATGCTTTGTTTAACCTTTTCATTGTTGATTTCCGATATGTTACATACTGTGAGGGAAAAAAAATGTCGGCAAACTGTTTTATATTATTATGATAACCTGTAATATTTTATAGCGTTTCATACTCAATTAATGTAGAACTAAGATAGGGTTTTAAAATGATCGAGAAAGTAAGAGAATAAGAAGAAAATTTAAAGTTCCTATTAATATTAGAAGGAATTATATTAATTATGCGACATTAAGCTAAGGCGTAAGAACGCGACTTGAATATTTCAATTCAATAGGTATATTACTTTACGTTGAATTATACGTGACACATTTTTCTATGAATGACATAAATCATTTTCGCTAGTTAAAATGATGAATTACGACAAGGAAAATGTCGGATTTCAAAGGTTAAACAGAGCACAAAACAAACAATTAATGGTTATGTTCCATTTCAATGAGCTTCAGAATATGTTTAGCATGACATTTCTGCAACATTATGCCCTTCCATTCTGAGCTTGGCGCTAAGTTTGAAAACGAGTTAGTAGACTAACGAAAAAAGCTTTGTAAAGAGTCTGTTAAAGTACGATTTATACACAAAACACTACGACATTTGAAAACTGATTTGCAAAGCAGCAATAGTGAGGAGTGATCGTTTCAGGAAAAATCTTCCAATCGTATCAATTCTCCAGCAATAAATTCGATTATATGCCGAAAATATGGATGAGCGGGGTGCGGTTCGTAATGTGGTTTCGCCGACCTCTAGCATTCAGTTCTGCAGCACGCATCCATCAATGGGTGGTCAAGCGATAGATAAAAGACATTTTACTTTACAAGAGAGGCCGAGGTCTCAGGTGCAGGCGTGGGCGAAGGCAGATCCGCCACTTTCATTCATTCACGCGTGAACGGGAGCCTCCTTGAATGCGAAGGAGCTTGCGTGCGTGAACGGGAGCGTCAATGTAAAGTTTTGCAAATTGCAGAAGGACATTGTCGACCCTTAATGGAACTGTGACTACTCCACCCTCAGAGGGTACATATGGCATGTGACCTCAAACACCTGTGATCCGCCTCTGTGCTTTTTTTGATATACTTCTATTACCGTCTGGATACTGTGTGCCTTTTGTAATGTATCTTGTCGCACTCAGGAACGGGTTTCTTCCTTTGTGAAAAGCGCTCTTCTCTCTTTTAAAACATGCCGGTGATTATCCTTTCAGCATTAAAAGATACTTTTCCTAAATTTTGTTGTGCATACTCTGCTATCGTATCTCAAGCGAAGCTGACGTCTATTCAAACAAATTCTGCATTATTCTGATTTTTCCCATTTAGTTTCAAACATTCACACTTTCATACGGTAGTCTATGATATGCGTGCTAATCGAAATTAAAATATCCGTCCGACATTATTTACATAATTTTAATTATTGTAAAATAAAACACTAAATATAGAACATTAAATATATTTCTATAAATATCACAACAAAATATATAATTTTATAATAGAAATATAAATTAATCTTAATTGATTTGAATAAAACATCTTGTTTCAGTTGCTTTTCAAGCTTTCATTTCTTTTCTGCACAATTTCTCTTTTAGCCTAAGAGAACACACATTTTTAAAGGAGTAATGTATATATATATATTATACTAGAAATAAAATTTGCAAATAAAATTCATTTAATTTTAGATGCCAGATTTTTCTACAACGTGCAAAGTTTTAGCATGGATGTTAATTAGACGAGAATAATTGTTTTCTTTCATACACATCCTTAAGTAACAAAACTTTACTTATTTGAACTACACAGAGTATATTTACTTTTTTTTATTTATAAAAAAATTTTTTGTTGTTGTTTTTAGGAATAGAAAGCTAAAAATAATTTTAAGTAAAATGCAAAGAATACAAACAGATTTATACTTCCATAATATATATAGAATATATTTCCTAGACATCTTTTTACTATATAAAATATTACTCCTTAAGCAACTCTACATTTTTTAAAATATCCGAAGATGAAGCTTAAAAAATTTTCAGTTTGCAGAAATATGACTAACATGACTAACTAAAATTTATTCTCAGTTAGCAGAAATATAATAATCCAGCCTTTAAACTCTAGTAAAAATCCTTTTATAAAAAATAAAATAAATCCTTTCACATATGTATTTCTAAATGATGTAAAAAATTAGAAACATTTTAAAGCAGATATGTCATGCTGTACATTCACGATTCAAGAGTTTATAATGTCAAGTCACAAAAGAATCTCTTTCTTGGCATAGAATGCAATAACTTAAATTTCAATCACACATTTCACAGCATTAACAGGTTTCAGAAGCTGTTCCCATTTCATCTGAAAGACCGTTAAATTTAAGCAAGATTAAAAGCAAACTGTCGCAGAAAACGTCACTTAGAATTTTCGCTAATAAGCTTCAAGAGTCTACGGCAGTAAAGTCAAGAGGACTGCTCAATCAAAAGTGCTTTTTACTTGTTAAATAAGTCTTTCAGAAAACATTCTCATCTGTGCAACTGTACCTTCTACAGTTTTCTTCAGATGAAGCCCTATTTTCTAAATGTCAATGTTTTCTGATAACGTAGCACTTTAACAAACTAGTGACTATTGGACAATTTCATAGTCGTACCAATGAAGTTCTTTCATTGCCCCAAAATAGTGGCACTGTCATTTGCTCACTGTCGGAGATCGTGAAGATTCGTGCCTCCGAACGTCCGTATTGTCGTCTCCGTGGCAGTGTACGCAGTGCATGCAAACAGCACAGTGTCCTATCTTTCTTGCCAATGTTGATCGGAGCTTTAGAGCTGGACCTAACTTTAAACCCAAATGCATTGTTAAATGATCTTCGGTTAGCAAAGGCAGCGTCGTTCCATCAATGGATTCTTCACGAAATTTCTGAAAGAAAAGAAGGAAAAAATTAGTTTCAAGCGAAATATAAATTTACGTAGTTTATAAAATTGGACACATTTTATGTAGCTCTTTTTATGAACTTGAATTCGTGCATAAAAATGGCTTTAAGCAGCATTCCATAGCAAACTGAGAAGTGCGACCACGGAAAATAACTAAATGCGTAATGCTAGAAACTCATTATTCACGGATCCAACGGCTAAATAAATGCTACATTCATTCCTAAATTCTGACACTAATTTTTAAAAGTTTTAATTATTACTACATAATCTGAGCGATTCCTGCGGTAGAAAGTTACTTCTGAGAATTTATGCGGCTGAAGTAATTTAAAAATTACGATAAAACTAACAGATTTGAAATATGTTTTAGAATGCGTTTAATTTCGGTGATTCTATGTAAAAATCTAACTTTAATGGAAAATTATTTTAAAGCTGTTTGTTGTGTAATCAGAGAACTATTACTATTTGGTTATAATTTAATGAAAAGTAGAAAGTTTATTTTAGTTAACATATTTTGCTTATGTGTAAAATATAGTTTACACTGTTACTGTTTCGCCTACTCTAACAGACTAAATGAGAGGTGTTAGTAGTGTGAAACAGCCGGTTCGCCGCCAAGAGGCGGAGCAAGCTCGCAGACGGATTACGGAGGCGGAGTGCGCGGAGGCGCAGCAGATAAGTAGGAATGTTTCGGGATTCTTTATTTAGTGTATAAAACCGGGATTCGAACCTGTAACAAAAGGAGTTCATAGGATACTATTATGATTGATTGCTTTAGAGCACTACCCCATGATCTCTAGTCCCTTATCGGCAAGAAAAAGGTTACAAAAAATTAAAATTTTTTAGGATTGTCCCCACCATCGCCCAGTGCAGTTAATTGCACCTCGACAATCCCGAAAATTTAGAACAGAAAAAATTATACATAGCTTTATGTAAGCTTTCCATAAGTTTTTCAAGAGGACGAAAAGTACCACTATACTAAAATACCTATAGTGTTATAAAAACTTAAAATAAAGGAACGTAAAAATTAAGAAAAAAAAAAAAAAATATTTACAAATTATTTCTTCATCTATTACATTTAATTTATTTTTCGTAATTTGAGATTATATAGCCTATTTTATCATGTTAGTTTAATGTTACTTTTAATGATATTTTGCATATTTAACTTGTAATAGTTATCTTTATATTTAATTTATAAATTTAGATTTATATAATGATTTCTTAAAGTTTATGTTAATGCATGTATCTAATATCTTTATATTTACACGCAATTTATATTTAGTTTAACGTTTATGCATTTAGTTTTGATTTTTTGCATTTTATGGAAATTTGTACCTAATTATTATATTTAATTAATGATTAATGATTCCGACGTATTTATTTTAATTTTTCTAAATTCTTACGTTCCTTAATTTTAAGTTTTCATAACACTATAGGTATTTTAGTATAGTGCTACTTTTGGCTCTGAAAAACTATGGAAAGCTCCATAAAACTTGTTAAGTTTCTGTTCTAATTTCGAGATTATGTAGTCTAAAATTATCAAATTAGTAGTTATTTATGTATGCACCGGATGAGGTGGGGACAACCTAAAAAAAAATTATTTTTTAAACTTTTTTCTGCTATAAGGGATAGAGATCATGGGGTAGTGCTCAAGAATCAATCATAGATACCCTTGAACTCCTTTGTCAGGTTAGATCCGGTTTTATCCACAAATAAAGAATCCCGAAACATTCTATTACTCGCGCCTCCGCACGTTGTGAGCTTGCTCCGCGTCCGCTCTGGGGTGCCCGGCTGTTTCACACTATGGTGTTTAAATAAGAGTACGAATCTAAGCTTAGAAGAGAATTTGCAACGTTCCCTGGCAGTAAAAAATTCCTCTGGTTCTTTCCAGTATGAGCGATATTTGTATACTAGTTGAAGAGCTTATCCTTTGCTGTTGAATATTAGTTTATAGTCCGTGAAAGTTACCAAGCCCGGTGCTAGGCTTAAGTTTAAACTTGAGGATTCTAAATATTTGAAATCCGTGTTTTCTGTTATTTCCGCAAGAGAATGAAGTCAATTTGTGTCTTTTAACTTTAGCTTTGAATTTCAGACTGAAAACCCTATAAATTTTAATTGTTTTTTTGTTGCATACAGTGCTCTGACATTGTAATAAAAGAAATGACGAAAATTCATCTTTCGGATTAGAAGGTTAGATCATTTTCAGATTAAGTCAAATTCAGTTTAATACAACAAAAGTATCGCAGAAAATGCTCAAGCATTGCAGTTTACAAGAATGAACATCTTTATAAGACTAAATACGGTTGAATAACCAGGAATATCGGAAAAACACGAAACTACCATATTGGATTACTGCAGAAAACCACCCACGCAGCCATCTCATTCTCGAGGATTTGAGCCCCCGTCGAATTATTAGTGTTCAGCGGTCATATCCATTCGGCCACTGGTGAGCTCTGGCAGGATACCAGATAGACATAATTACTGCACATATAAACCAGTAGATAATTTTATCTTTTAATGTCTACAATACTAAAATTATTTCATTAGAAACCAAAGAAAGAGTCGAAACAATACGTAAATACTTCATGATGATTTTTAAGAGAAGTGGTAATGTACACTCTGTTAAAATCAAAAGCTAATAAGTGTCACTGCCAACGCAATGGTAATGCCCGTTAATGTGAGAATTTTTACTCATTTGGAAGTAATACACTTAAGTACAAGCAGTACTATTAGTAATAATAATAATAATAATGTTATCATACCACGTATTTCGATTTGCATTGAAATTTGAAAGTCATCATCAGGGCTAGAAGCTCGGTATTTTTCCTTATTATTTCAAACAAGATATGGCTTATAAACTTAGAAGATTAACTCAATTTCAGATTTTCCTTTAATTTTTGCTTAAAAAATCAAAAAGCAAACTACAGTTACTGACTTTCACAAAAGAAAATTTTGAAGAACGGATGTCTGAATTCAAAATTTAATTTTATGGTCTTTTTAAAGCTATTTAAATTTTATGAAGAGAAGATAAGGCGAAAGATAAAGTAATATCGCCAACTTAAGTGTTTAAACGCCAAATATTGAATAACAGCCACAGTGGTCACTTGTAGAATGTGAAAGCAGAAAGAGGAATGGATGCTAAAGTGGCGGTAGTAAGAACAGGCTACCGTTCTGGAATGAGGAGGAGGTCAAACATCCAATGCGTCAAGACTAATCCATCTTGTCACAGAGGCCTACACGAAGGAAGAATTTCACCTCGTGAGGTCTCCACATGATTTAAAACGGAAATTTGCGTGCTCTTCCCCCCTCCATTTAAGAAAGCATTAGGATGTTTACGAAGCAGGAACAAAGCTCATTCCAATTGTTATACGATTCTCTATGCTTCAATCTATCAAAGATCCAAATAAAACTCTCTGGAAAATATGTTTCGCTCTGTCTGTAATTTCAATTAATTTACTGAAGTTCATTTACATTTTTACAAAAAATTAATTATAAATTAACGCATAGCAACGAGAAAAGGACTATGAAAGATATAAAACAGTCATCATATCTTGGATGCATATCTTTTAAATCAAAATAAGCAGATAAACAGCAACTAGAGAGAGACAGAACAAACTTCATATTTAACCAGTGATTTTAGCCTTTAATTTCTAAAATATATATGTAACTGGCGTTAATTTCATTAAAAAGGGGTTTTCATTCTATTAAAAAGGGATATTCAGACTTTATCGACAGTTATATTTTAAATATTATAATTTGTCAAAGATGGTATGTTTAAATGATTCAGTTATTAAACAAATATTATCATACATTTTTTTTAACTACGAGATTAAAATTTTATAACATTTGAAACATAAAACTGGTTAACTCACGGGGCGGGCCAACATTAATTACTGTGTTAAAATATGTAAAAGATTTATTGATTCAGTGTTTCAATTTCAGATTTTTCATTGTAATTTTATTTTCTTTTTCTATTAATGTTAGATTTTTCAATTTTTTTTTCATTCCATTATTATATCCCAGCCTGTGCCCGAGTGGTTAAGACCGCTGAATGTTGGTAGTTAAAACCCAAGCGAACGGGTTGGCTGCCGGCTGGTTTCCACGAAGGCATTTCTCTCCTTAGGAAGATAGCCCTCACATGATTTGTAATATTTCAGTAACTTAATTTAACTGTTCCCTTACATATGACTTTTCAATTCCCTTTCCTCTTTCTGTCAGTTATAATGCTGCACGGATTCTCCAGAAGAACTTCAGGTCTTCTGGAGACTTCCTTTTCTTACCTATCAATAAAATTCTTACACATCAATAAAATTAATGAAGTTGCTCAATTTTTAAATGTTTCCTCGCCGACATTAAGTACAACATGATAATATAACATACATATTGTCAGTGTAATTTAAGATATATCGAATAAATTAAAAGAGCGTTAAAATTTCACGTCAAGGAACACGAATCTTATGTCCGAGAAGGAAAAATAAACAAATCATTGACGGTCAATCAGAATCGGAAACGTAATAACAATTTTGACTTTTGAATAACTGACTTATAATAATTTATTACTTTATGAATAATTGGGTTCGGCGAAAATTATTCATAAAGCTTCTTCAGTTGGTGAAATGGATTTTCTTGACTCGTTTTACATTCACAAAACTTTATCTCCTTTAGTTCAATCCAGTCCTTCAATACCTTAGTTTTACCCTTTACATTACTATTTTCCTCTACAGATGGCGCTCCATTTGTATTCGCTTTTCTTCGCATTTTGCTAATATAAGTAGATATATATATATATATATATAGTTGCTGCTAAACCCATTTTGCAAGCGGAAAAAGGAATCCACGGCTTTCGCCATCCTCAGCACTCTTGTAACTATCCTTCCTGCTGTTTTTGTTGACGGCCACGAATCCAGAGACATCTCTAAGGATAAAATTAGAACCCAAATGCGCAAACTGTGGGCGCCCCCACACAGCTAGTTACAGAGGTATCCCCTCCTT